AAAAAAACCAGCAAAATAAAATATAATAACTTCCCTAAATCATATCTCATCAAAGAAAGAGTCCCGAACCTATGAAAGCCCTGTTGCAAGGCCAATATTAAATTTATAATCATCAAAATGTCTTTTTCCAGTCGACATTTTTGACATGAAGATCCAACGTTATAAATACCTGCAGATTTTGACCGAATAAAATTTCCAGAGCGATATAAGGCATGACGTCACAAATACCATCTTTTAAATCGTTTTCGTTATACTTTTCAAATGGGCTGAGTGCTGCAAAAAGGGGGAAATCAACAAAAAGAAGATCTTCGGAAAATCAATTTTTATGTTATACATTTGATAATAAATCATAAGAAATTGTAAATTTTGAAGAGCTATTCTGCAAAATTTTATTAATACAACCACTTTTGTGTCTTAAGTAAAAAATAATCCTGATCTTATTTTAAATTAATTTATGCAAAAAATTAATTTTAAAAAATTTGTCAATTTCCCCCTTTTTTGCAGCACATAGCCCAAATAATCCTAGGTTCGAGATGTGATTGCTGCTACCTTTAACTTGCATGGATTTCATCTAAATATCTTCAAATTGCTTTAATTTAGTTTACCAGATAAAATCACGAAAATTCTTCTTAAAAATCTGTGAAGACTTCAACAAAAGAAGGGCGAAGAAAAGAATAAAAAAAAATATTTGATATTTCTAGTGATCTTCGCTTAAATTGCTTGTTAAAGTAATAGTAGCGCATAAATATAAACTAATTTGTTATAAATAAACTTATATGGAATTATTAAGACCTTTACTAGAATGCTGATCACTACATTTTGTCCTAAAGTTCAAAAAAAAAGTTTTTTAATTTCCAATTTGAAATAACTTTTACAGTTCTGCTAGAAAGGTATCAATTATATAAACTATAAATTATCTTCATACCAGTAAAATTAATAATAATGAGAAATCGATTAATAACAAAATCCCTACGATCTAATACTGATATTTTAATTTTGTTTTTACCTTCATCATTAACAGAGAATTGTTATTACCTAAATAAATCCTTATTTGGTTTAATTTTGAAAGATTATTATTACCCATAAATAAAATAATGCGTTTTGTTAGTATTGCTCACGAAAGAAAAAAAAACATCGATGGCTTGTAAATTTTAAAGTTCCTTACATCACAGATTAAAATAACGCGTTCGTTTGATCACGAAGCAAATTAACGTGTAAGAAAGATTAAAGGGGACGAAATAGAGCACAAAAAAAGGTTTCATAAAAAGGGTCATGTGTTTGTGGCGTAGTACGTGCCAGAAAAATTTTGTGGGTTAGCTACGCGCTACAAATTCCTGGGGTACCGAAATAGATTGTGATAACAAGGAAGAAAAGACGGGGATAAAGAAAAAAGAGAGAAGAAAGGAGCAGAAAAGAAAGAAATGAATGGGAAGAAAGAAAAGAATGAAAAAAAGAAAGAGATGGAAAGAAAAGAACAGAAAAAAGAAAAGAGCAGGAAAAAAAGAGAAGAACGGGAAAGAAAAGAATGTGAAGAAAAAAAAA